CATATTCAACGCTTTCTGTCAATTGTACTTGATAAATGAAGCGATAGAAGTATCAGCGTCGATGCGACTGCGCGGCCATTTGTGGGCGGGCGGTTGCGGAGGGCGTCTGGGCCGGCATGCTGCATAATGGTTAGGCGCTGTAAGGGTGCATTTGGTTAGCAAGGGAGCAGGCAGCGCCTGCTAGGGGGACACAATACTCTTTCACTAGACGTATGTACTGGTATACAGGGTACAGCATCGTTGTGTGAACTTAAAGGGGGTCGTACTTTTCGGCTGGGGAGGGAGGGGGTCGTATGTGTCTTTGGCAGAAATTTTCCGCGTTTCTCGGTTGTTGACTTTTCGCGTGGTTTTTCTGGTTTCGTGTCTTCTATATACCCTCCCGCTCGACAGCAAAATTCTTGGGTTGAGAAATCGGAAAATGTAGGAAAGCGGTAGGCAGATATTGGGGGGAAGGGAGGGGTCGTACCAAGACCCTCATTTATTGGGGTGGGGGGGGGGGGTCGTACCTACACCACCATTTCACACATCACGATGCTGCACCCTGCTGGTATAGCTGTATGCCTTGTCGATTTGGTTAGGAATTAAGTGGTAGTTCCAGCGATTTTAGTGGAAAAGCCATTTCGTTTGGCCTCCGCACGCTGGTAAGTGAGGGCCCAGCGCTCTTCCATTATAGCGCTGGAACTCCTGTTCCGCCTCTAAACTTACGCACAAACTGTCTTTAAGAAGCACATAGGAACTCCGAAACAGCCGGTCAATACAGATGGATCTAATAAAGACAGACGAATTTGACCATCCGTTAGAGGCTACCTTGTCCCCGTTGTTCGCTATGAAAGATATCTTCGATTAGATTACCTGTCTAAAGGATATTTCTTCGGCATTTGCGGTTCCATCGGCATTTTCCCTCGTAGTGATTTGAGCTTTTTCTCAAATACTTTGTCCGTTGCAAATACTTCAGCGACATTCCAAGTTGTGTCATTCAACTGCAACACGAGTTCATTATATAGAGAAGAAGATGTGAGTGGTGCATGCAAACTCCGTTGGAATGCGCCGTGCATCTGAGCCATATTGCAATTCGAAAACGTTTTTGACCCCTTCAAGCCATTTGATTAGACCAATGTCCAGTGCAGGCTTACTTTGTCCCAAGCTTGGTATCATGAGGAAGCAAAGGTTCCTGCTTTGAAAACATTAAAACACAAGGGAAACCATACGACTGCGGAACTCAAGAGACCAGTGGAAAAAACACAAGAACATGAAGATACAGTAGACTTTTGGAGACAGGCAAGAGAATCGTGAATTGCCGCTTCGTCGCGCGCGGCAATGAGCGTGACTTTTTCTTGATTTGTGCCACCCTTTCAATTGGAGCATCGGATTTCCTTTATACAAAAACATGGTAGACATTTATGTCTATTTTGGTCATACATTGCCTATTCTCGACCAATACCACCTAAAATCGTCGTCATTAGCGGGCGCGACGTCGCACGCAACGCCCACTGACGCGGCGAATTACGATTCTCTTGCCAGATACCCCTGAAGGCAACAAGGGAGTAGTTGGTTGAAAGCGGAGGTCCCGTCGAAGAGTGGCAGACACGTATGTATGGCAGGGAAGAGCGCGTTAGGACACTTGGGCTGTGTAGCCGCACCAGGATACCCCTTCCATCATAGAATATGGACGATTGCCGATCAGGGTACAGCATCGTTGTGTGAACACATGGGGAGGGAGCGTACTCGGCCGTTGGGGAGGGTTAGTCGTATTTGGTGGTGTGGACAGGGGGGTCGTATGTGCCTTTCTCTTGCCGAATACCCGCGGAAGGACGTTTGTCGCATGCGCGGAGTCAGGCCTAGTATTCTGCTTTTCCCAGGGTGCGCCCTCACCATCAAAAAGGCAAAGAAAAACGCGAACAGGCTTAACGGCAGGCTCGACTCCGCCCGCGCAATGGACGTGGACTGTACCAACAAGGAACCAGGCACTGATTCCGCTTCGCTCATTGCTGCGTCATGCTTCCTACGTGTCATACCACTTTATGTGATGTCAAATCAACCGAACTTTCGCGGACGCTTCCAGCATCAAGATTGACTCACCGGTGGTCTGTTCTTCGTCGTTGCCTTTCTTAATGGCATCATCGACTCTTCATATGCTACAGGATCCGTCACCTCACAGTGGTAAGTCGGCACAAGATTGCCCGGATGATTTGAGCGTGGAAATCGTTTCGCATTGATCACCCGACAAATTCTATCTGAATGTATAAAATATTTTGGCCTGGATGGTTCCAGAAGTGACTCAAAGAAATCAGGATTTACTAAATTACAAAAAAAGTTCTAACGAGCAAGGCTGCGTTTATACTTTCGGGGCAGCGTAGCCGTAGCCGTCGTAGCGCTTTCCGAGCCTTTCACTAGCCGGTTTCGCTAGCGATTAGAGAGTATAGAAAAGTAGGACGAGAAGCAGAATGCTCTCCTGCCTGCTAAGAGGAGTAAAGAGACAGGAGAGTACAAAATGCTCTCCTACGCTAGAGAGTATCGAAGAACGTAGGAGAGTATTTTGTACTCTCCTAGTATTTTGTACTCTCCTACTCTTCTACACTCTCTAGCCCTGCCGCTGCAAGCGCTAGCGAAACGCTAGTGAAACGCTCGTGAAACGCTGGTAGCGCTAGATCGATACCTATACATCCCGTGCCCTCGCTCGCTGGCGTACGCTAGCGTTTTACGATAGCGTTACGCTGGTGGCGGCTGGAACGCTAGATCGGTACCCATCTTTCCCTCCGGACACTGCGCTGGGACGCCTGAGGAGCGTATACGCTACGCCTCCCGCAATTGTAACGCTGCCTATCGTCAGCCGGTTGCCTTCTGATGCGTGATATGGTGATCGTGTGGCGCGACCGAGCATGCTTTACACTAATCGTTAGACCACTGCAATTGCTGGTTAAATCACCGTCGGGATGTCGTGGGAGGCGCGATCAGCGGCATCCGCGCGACTCAATCGCTCGAGTCGCGAAGTATGGACGTGTACTATCGCAGTGCTTTTTTTCAAACGGTTTGTTCTGCGTGACATGGCGGTCACGGAAGAGAACCGTTCATTTTCACTGGGCGGTTCCAGAAGTGTCAAAGGAGAGAGAAGAAAACACATTTCCAGACTACTATTATGTTGGGGTAACCGAGCTGATCATGATTCGTATTTTTCGTCGCTAGCATGACGCTTACTATGAGCCCCACATGTGAGCCACAGTTTATTTTTTTCGTTTCATGTAAAAAAACATCTTTATCTTGCAAATGATCGTTCTGGTGCGCTTTGTGACCCATTCCACCCCCTCCCCATTCCCTCCCCCTCTTCCCTGTAAGAGGCAGCCTAATTCTCAATGAAAAAGGGTTCAAAAGGGAAAAGACATCGTGATTCCTCACAACCTTTCCCACATGATTAACCATGCACCTGCGCTAATTGGCATTTAGCTTTCACATGACCCAGTAGTTTCCCGTTACCCCTCATTACTATACTTATAGCATTATCTCTGATCGATATAATCAATATTCGCACCTCGCTAACCACCCAACAATCACACCTGCACCCGTCTTCCGCATCCGGTACCGCTCAAACGCAGTATTACTTTGTTATTTTAGATCATTAGTTGTAAGACCACTGCAACCACTTGCTCAAGAAATATTTCGCTGTTGTCAAGACGGGCTTACAATGTGATTCTTAATGTTAACGAAGTTAATCACTGTGTTCTTATTTACGGTTCCAGAAGGACCCCCCCCCTTGAGATTCCACTATTCTTGTAAGATACTTCCATGTATCACTTCCTTACCCCCTTCCTTTGTCAAGCTGTCAATTGCGAAGAGTATGAGGAATACTTACTCTCACACAGCACACACTCTTCTCTCTCTCACACATCACACACTCTCACTCTCTCTCTCTCTTACACGTCTCACTACCTCGTCTCTCTTCATTCTGTCTTTTGGTCACCTAACTGAAGCGCCTACTACCTTCAAAGATGAGATCGAGTAGGGGACCGGGCGCTTTGAGGCAGAACCATTTGATCTGAGTTTGTAAGAGAAGCAACTCCGCGATTAATCCGCCTCGGTTCTCAGATGGTTGGATTAGGGGCGTTGCCATATAGACGACAATGGGTTGATAACTCAACTCAAAAAGAAGCACAAAATAACATGGCCACCTGCCGAACTAGAGAACACTCATTTTGTTCCACTCGTTTTGTACGTGGCCCAAATCAAACTCTATCTCCAAAACCTACGCCCTCATATGCACGGCTGATTCACCGATAAGATTTCTACGATCGTACAAGTGGCGATTATCATGCTTTTTCGTCCTGCAATCTCATTTTTCACTGGAAGTCGGTCATTAGGGCGGAGTCTGGAGGCGGAGTCACTGGAAAAAAGGAGGGGCCACTGAACTATTATTGGCGCTAACAGGCCCCTCCCATAGAATTTTCTTGGTCGTGAAACGGTACATAGGTTGTTCGTCGCGGACCACTCTAACTTACCGCACATTTTCAACTTCGATACGCTGAATCGCCGGACCGCGCGGCTTTAATTACTTCCTTGACCATAGTATTATGTAAACCAGATATAGAAGAAAGTGTCCAGTTTTGGATAAGTTAGCTCTCTCGATATAACCTGTAGTGTAATCCTATTCTTTGAGGCGGAAGAGGTACAGTGGCAAAGGCACGACTTACTAACGCGCGCGGTTCAGGGACAAAGGCACAGTCTCCAATCCTCCATGGACACTAAATTGGTACCACATTTGTCTAGGAGGAGTAAGAACATGACTTGCACATTGGCAGGGCCCCGCAAGTCATTGTATAGGCCACATCGCATTTAATAAGCCACCACGATCCGATCTGAATTTGTGGGGCGTGTCGTATCCCAGAAAAGGGACTGAACAACAGCAGAGACTATCTTTTTTACCCTTTGTGATCCCCTTCAACCCAGGAAAATGGGGTATACATCAGGCAACGAAGATGTTGAAAATTCATTTTTTTCTACAGAGTGCGAATACTTCCCCAGTAGTTCAAGCACGATCCTCTGCCTTGAAAAAAAGGACTAATAGACATTTGTTCTGCACAAGGTGTTGTGCGTGTAGTAGCAGCTTCTACTGCCATAAGGCTCAACCAAGAATAGAAAAGTAAAATAATATAATAAAAAATGAGAGATCCCTAACTATTGTCCATGCCTTAATACTCACATGGATTGTATCCATATTTTGCCTCCTCGTAACCCAATGTAAGAGACTGTCGAGTCTTTTCGTTGACCATTCGTTCGTTTATTTGATCAGCTATTTTCATCTAAATCGCTTCTTTTACGTGGATATACCTAATTATTCTTATTTTGAAGAGCAGTGCGAAGCTCACCTGGTCCCCATAAATGTCGTTGAAACGCAACTTTTCAGATACCAGGTGGTCCAAATTTTCCTAAAAACGAGATCAAGGTCCAAGGTTTATACTCTAGAGGCATGCGCAACGAATTGAAGAAATCTGATTAATTTTAGGTTCTGATTCGGTTGTTCAGGGCTGGGCTGCGGAACCCTAATTGAAGAATGTTAGACCATTTTACCCCTCCCTTCACACACCTCTCTGAAAGGAAAAGGCTCAGTGTTGAGCGATGTTGATCCTAAGACTCACACGAATAAGCCCCCCTGCCTCTTTTATTCCCTTTTACCTCTGAGCCGGGGACTCCCAAGAACCAACAACCGATACTCACGCAGATTTGTTAACACTTTACGCTTGATTTTTCGACTGGAGGACTGGGTCACGGGAGATTATCTAAGCTCACGAAACACAATACCATTCATGAATCCACTGAATAAAATCCATAGAAACTAGCTAGCACAAACGATCAATAATTCGATCGTACCTTCTGTTTCGCTAACTCTACGAAGAGATCAATCTGACAGCTCATTGCTCCTAGTTTCTTCAATAGAACCTCATGAAATTTCAACAATTCAGCCACGTAATTCGAGTCGTTCGGTGGGACAAGCTGCAAAAAGAGAAGTTGGAGATTCAAGATTTGAAATAAACTTGAAGCAGCGCTTTTCTTACCAAATGCTTAATGAAAGGATCGGAGAAATAGGTGACTATACGAGCAAAGTCGGCCACTTGTTCCACTTGGATGCCATTGACCCGTGAAGCGTCCAGCTTCAGGTATGCCGCGTCTGCCATTGCTGCTTGTGCTTTCAGAAAGACACACGGACTGTGCCCATTAGGATCATCCATAGTGAAGGAATGCTGAAAGACCTCTTGAAGTTACACTCGTAATGAGTGGTGATCTACTCTTATGGAGGTTCCTCGGCTCAGCGTGTTGGGGAGGAGGAGGCGGAGGAGTGTGGAGGGGAGAACATGGTTGTTCTCCACCTGAATCGGACAACTGGTAATAGGCTTCAGATGGAGCATAAAAGCCTCACTTCAACCACCACCACCTCAAAGGGGCATTCAGCAATTA